ACGTCTCTGAGGATCAAGAAAAGTAAAAAATGAAATAGCACTAAAGAACGTCATGATTACATGTATCTGGACTTAGAAGGGGGAGGGGGGCTAGCTATGTATTTTTTTTTTATTTCAATGTGTAGACTGTAGGAGAGTTTCTTCAGAAAAGGTTTTCATTGGAGGTGTTTTTGCCATGCAGGCAGGCATCTGTTTCAGCGCTATCCATGAACAAGTTGTGTGTCAAATTAATTATTATTACTTGTCACTCGCATTTTTTGCTCGTCCTGGCCATTATTGGCATTAACAGCCAGTGCAGGACTCGCACGAACGTTAGATTTAGTTAGAGGGGCGATATTCTGACGCGTTTTTTAATTCTTGGTCACCCATGTTTAGAAAGAAAGGGGAGACATCCAAACAATTTCCGACCAATCACAAACGTTGTTGCAAATTTGACCTTATGACGTCAAAGAATTTCCCATAATGCAATTATTGCATATAAATTAAAAACTACTATACAAATTGAATAAAAAATATCGCATTCAAATGACATTTTATACCAATTGAATAAAAACTATTGCATTTGAATGAAAATTATACCATTTGAATGAAAAATTATACCATTTAAACGAAAAATTATACCATTTGAATGAAAAATTATACCATTTGAATAAAAAATATTGCATTTAAATGAAAAAATATACCATATAAATGAAAAATTATACCATTAAAATAAAAAATATTGCATATAAATGAAAAAATATACCATTTAAATGAAAAAATATACCATACAAATGAAAAAATATTGCATATAAATGAAAAAATATTGCATATAAATGAAAAAATAGACCAATTAAATGAAAAATATTGCATTTAAATGAAAAATATCAAATTTTTGCAACCAATACCATGCCATAAATATTCTCTTTTTCAGTTTAAAACCCAACATTTCACTTTAAAAGAAGGGCGGAAGATATCAAAGGGATAGCAAACTGATAAGTTGAAAATGCAATTGATAAAAAAAAAGAAAAACGGTCAAAAGACAAACAACAGTCTACAATACACAACATAGACAACTAGACTTAAGCAACACGAACCCCACCCAAAATAGGTGGATGATCTCAGATGCTCCGGAAAGGTAAGCAGATCCTGCTCAATATATGGCACCCATCGTGTTGTACATGTTATTTCAAACACGGCGATGATAACATAAATGGTACCAATTTTACTGTATCAGATGCACATTTTGACAATACATGTCTCTTCAGTGATGCTCGAGTCCAAGTATAAATCAAAGCACGAAAGCGCTGTAAAGGCAGTTAATTACAGGTTGTGTGTATTTTAAGTCCAGTTATATCATTATCTTGCATAGTACAGTGTACTTATCAGAGGTGGCTTTCAGTATTTAAGATTTAGAGTTCTCTAATGATATTGAATAAGTTTTATGAATGTCATATTCTGAGCACTATATGAAGGTGATTGTTCTCACTTGTTTATGAACTAGTGCATTATGTCCAGTTTGTACCTTTTTTATCTAATTTTTTGTCAAATTAGTTATCAAAGGTACCAGGATTATAATTTAATACGCCAGACGTGTGTTTCGTCTACATAAGACTCATCAGTGACGTTCAGATCAAAATAGTAACAAAGCCAAACAAGTACAAAGTTGAAGAGCATTGAGGACCCAAAATTCCAAAAAGTTGTGCCAAATACGGCTAAGGTAATCTATTCCTTGGATAAGAAAATCCTTAGTTTTTTCATTGGCAATCATAACACATCTCCTTATTTATATAATGATCTATATTCAACGACCTTAGGTACAAAAAAAAATGTATGTAACTAAACTATGATGGGTAACCTTTGACTTCTTTCTTTATATAAACTTTTGATTTGGTACCATAGAACTATGTAGAGTAAATGTACATTGCAACATGTCAACTCTTTCAACTCCAAGCAAAATTATATTTCCAAGCATAAAGTAATTTATGAATGAAATAAAATGCTCCGCTGGGGCGCAGCTTGATACGACCGCAGAGGTCGAACCCTGAACAGTTGGGGCAAGTATGAACACAACATTCAAGCTTGATTCAGCACTGAATTTGGATTGTAATTAAATATTTGACACAGCATAGGTTTCTGACACAGAATGAAAGTGGTCTAAGATACTTAAAAAAATTTAATTTACCTATTCAAACCATATCATTATTATTTGCTTTTATATATAAATCAGAAATAACCAATTTAAAATGGAAAATTTTAAAGAAAAAAAAGGAAAAAGAATCCCCCCCCCCCCAAATTTTTTGAACCCCCTTATGATTCATCACCCCAAAACTCAATCCCAGCCTTCCCTTTGTGATATGGTACCTTGCAGTACAATTTCAGAGAGATCCATACACTTGAACACAAGTTATTGTCTGGAAACTAGAAAAATGCTTGTTTTTTGGCCCCTTTTTGGTCCCAAATTCCTAAACGTTTAGGGCAATTACCCCCAAACTCAAACCCAGCTTTCCCTTTGTGATATGGAACCTTGTAGTACAATTTCATAAAGATCCATACACTTACACACAAGTTATTGCCATGAAACTAGAAAAATGCTTGTTTTTTCCCCTTTTTGGCCCCTAATTCCTAAAATTTGGAGGCAATTACCCCCCAAAATCAATCCCAGCATTCCCTTTGTGATATGGAACCATGTGATACAATGTCAGAGAGATCCATAGACTTACACACAAGGTATTGTCATGAAACTAGAAAAATGCTTGTTTTTTGCCCCTTTTTGGCCCCTAATTCCTAAAATTTGGAGGCAATTACCCCCAAAATCAATCCCAGCATTCCCTTTGTGGTATGGTACAATGTACCTTGCAGTACAATTTCAGAGAGATCCATACACTTGAACACAAGTTATTGTCTGGAAACTAGAAAAATGCTTATTTTTGGCCCCTTATTCCTAAACTTTTTGGGCAATTACCCCCAAACTCAATTCCAGCTTTCCCTTTGTGATATGGAACCTTGTAGTACAATTTCATAAAGATCCATACACTTACACACAAGTTATTGCCATGAAACTAGAAAAATGCTTGTTTTTTGCCCTTTTTTTGCCCCTAATTCCTAAAATTTGGAAACAATTACCCCCAAATTCAATCCCAGCATTCCCTTTGTGATATGGAACCTTGTGATACAATGTCAGAGTTATCCATAGACTTGCACACAAGTTATTGTCATGAAACTAGAAAAATGCTTGTTTTTTGCCCCTTTTTGGCCCCTAATTCCTAAAATTTGGAGGCAATTAACCCCAAAAATCAATCCCAGCATTCCCTTTGTGATATGGAACCTTGTGGTACAATGTCAGAGAGATCCATACACTTACACACAAGTTATGTCTGGAAGTTACAAAAATGCTTATTTTTGGCCCCTAATTCCTTAACTGTTGGTACCATAACCCCCAAAATCAATCCCCACTTTCCTTTTGTGGTATTGAACCTTATTTTAAAATTTCATTGAGATCCATTCACTTAAACTAAAGTTAGAGTGCGAAAACTAATGTGTCTTCGGACGACGACGCCGGACGACGACGACGCCAACGTCATACCAATATACGACCACAAAAATTTTTTTGCGGTCGTATAAAAAGGAGTTCTTAATTAAGAAATAAACTGATTCGCTGAGCGCAGCTGGATACACCCGCAGAGGTACTACCCTGAACAGCTGGGGCAAAAATGGACACAATATTCAAGCTTGATACAGGTCTGAATTTGGATTGTAATTAAATATTTGACATATTATAGTTTCTGAATAAATGTAGTCAATGAACTTGAAATCGGTTATATGAATTGAATTTATATTCAATTAAAGATTTCTTGCTGTTGTGCAATACACTGTGCTGTTGTGCAATACTTAATAAATCTGTTGCCAGACTATAAACAAATAAAGTTCAATTTCTTCTCAATGTCATATTTGAAATTTATGAAAATCAATAGGGAGATTACATCAATAGCTATAAATAATTCACCAAAGTTTCATGTGAACTGCTTAAAGCATTTTTTGAGTTGTTGTCCAAAAACTGGAAAATCCCCCCTTTTTTAATGAATAAAACCCCATAACTCAGAAATGTAAAATCTACAATTTATAAAATTCTAAAGGGAGCTTACGGATTGATAATTTAGTCTTAGATGCAAGATTTTTTTATCAGTTGTTAGTGGCTTTGAACTAGCTGTCAGTAACTGCGAGTACTCTCAGATTTGTACTTAGTGTCTTTTTGTTGTTTGGATGTACAATGTACAACTACCCGACCACGTCCACTTGTATTTGTATTTATCCATCTGATGAGTTTAGCCTCTTTCAACTGATTTTTATAGTTCTTTCTTATATTGTACTGTTACACCACTGTCCCAGGTTAGGGGGAGGGTTGGGATCCCGCTAACATGTTTAAGCCCGCCACATTCTGTATGTACATGTATGTGCCTGTCCCAAGTCAGGAGCCTATAAAAGTGTAATTCAGTGGTTGTCGTTTGTTTATGTGTTGCATATTTGTTATATTTGTTCATTTTTTTACATAAAATAGGCCGTTAGTTTTCTTGTTTGAATTGTTTTACATTGTCATTTCTGGGCCTTTTATAGCTGACTGTGCGGTATGGGCTTTGCTCATTGTTGAAGGCCGTACTGTGACCTATAGCTGTTAATTTCTGTGTCATTTGGTCTCTTGTGCATGTGTGGAGAGTTGTCTCATTGGCAATCATACCACATCTTCTTTTTTATATTTACATCAACAGATATAAAAAATTCACCAAAGTCAAGGTGAGACAACAAAACTTAGTTGTAAGATCTCTGAAATTTTTTACAGGGTACGAGTTTTTCTCATTGATGGTGATTGTACGGTGACAGTAACACCTGTAACTGCTTAAACCCATTTCTTATGCACTTTAGTTTGATAAACTCACTGAATATCATACCACATCTTCTCATTTTTATATGCATTACAATTTACATGTGCATGTAATTGTAAATATATATATATCAGAACAAAATTCATTGCGTCACTTTTATTTATGCATCCTTTGGCACAATACAAGTTCTAAAATTACACAACATAAAACAACTAAATGTTATTTCAGATGAAAGTTTTGTTTCAGTTCCATTCATAGGATTTATTAGATTTTGTATGTTTTGCCAAGTCCAATAATTCTCTCTATGTGAAATAGAGACATAGTTGACTAAACCACCAGGTGTCGAACATTCAAGAATTTTCAGTGTTTCTGATTTTATTTGATGAAAAGGTTGCCTGAGCTCTAGGAGCTTTAGGTTTTATCACGGGATATTCTGTGCTGTCAATAATAATCCAAGTCGTAGGAAACTTTAATTTGAAGTTGGATGGTGAAAAATACCTGACTAAACCACTAGATGGCCAAGTGTTAGCCTCACACCACTGTTTAGACATAAAAACAATCCATGTATACACAATATTCTTAACACTAGATTCAATCTAGAATTTAGACAGTTCAAAGTTGGTTGTATGATGCCTCAATTTCATCAAAGTCATAAAAAAACTGATTTTCAACTGACACCCTATCAATTTGAAAATATATGCATCTCAAACAATGTGCTGCTGGACCAAGTGTGGTCAAAACAAATAAAAATTTAGTATACAACTCTAAACCGGTATAAAAATGCATGGCTGTGTCACGTGTCTTCATTTCAAAATTCTCTGTTAAAAACATAGGCATTGATGGTGTTTGCGTAATTCCATCTGTGAAGCTCAACATTAGCTCGGCAGTTGGTGGTGGACAGTCATAAATCCTTTCTGCAGTATGAATGACTTCTTCAGGAAAACCAACTTTACAATCAAAACTTTCCTCTAGATTTCTACTACAATATTCATCAAGTTTAGTTCTTTTGTTTTCACAGGAAACTGCCCTGATTTTTCTATTTGCGGACGATTCAGTCTCTTGCTTGGTCCAGGAAAATAGGCTGGGAATTGCAGTAGACTTAAGTCTCTGTATGGTGGGTTTGCGCCCTGAAAAAGGTTATAAAACATTAGTTTTTTAATAATTAAATGAACTTCCATTAGCAATGTATACTTTGTACTACCTGGCGAAATATTAACTAGATTTATTCATTACAATCTGGATAAAACTATGTTTGCCTGATTCAATGTATGTTATGTAAATCCAAAGGACAAACAATGAGAGACTTATGCAACAAACTGAATTGTTTGTACCTAAATAACTATAATATAGATGAGAGCATGTCATTGTTTTGTTCCTGTTAACATTGTCATTGATATTTTTCAAGAAAGTCTATGAGGCATAGCTTATGCATTCCTGTCATTACTACATTAGCATAATTACTGCTAAAATAATTCTCAGTATGATATACCTCTTGTAAGAAATCATTATAATTGTAGCAATCACCAAAAAATCTCAAACAGATCACATTGAATCGTAATCCAAAAAATTATGACGTCTTGAATTACCCACCCCCTTTTATTCTAAAACGATAATTGCGGTTGTAAACAGACTTTGGTTTATTCGCATGGCGATTACATATATAACTATATATTTCACAAAGAAAATAGAGTTTTACCATGAATAGTTTCCTGCACGTAGTCTTTTTCAGTAAAACGTGCCTTGCAAACAACAGCTGATTGAGATGGACTCCACGATATCATCGTGTTCTCGTCCAATCTGCGTATGGGCCATGGCGTTGATCCAACTTTTCCTTCTTTTTAAGTCATTTGGAAATGCATGTCCTCCTCTTAAATGACATCCAGGTACACAACAACAAGTACTTGGCATCGTTAATTAAAAATGTAACTGAAATAGTTGCACAGTGCAGAAACCGGAAGAAGAGGAACAGGATCCGCTACCACGGCGCCACCTATTCAGGAACGATAATTTGCTACTTTATATAACTGCGAAAATAACGTTAGACGGGTTCACGTGCATAAACAGAAATGCGCTTTAAATTGTATTATATAATTCATGTTCAGTCGACCTTTAATTATTATATCAACGACTGAAATGATTTATAAACATCTAGATTGCAGATAACACTCGAAATTAACCCGAGCTCTTTCCACACGGAATTCAAATAATTCTAGTTTGACTGCTTATAATGCAAAATACTAATATATCAAAAGTTTTTAAAACTAACAAAACACAATGATCGTTTCTCTATTTCCCAATGTTAATGAAATGAAACAAAAAACATTTTATATCGCAATAAGAAGAGGAGAGAATTCAACTTTTCCGGATCTACTTGGAGTCTAATGACCCCCCACGTAGATAAGTTGGATATCGCGGAAGGAAGGATTAACCCGGCAACTAGAAAGGCATTAAAGCACTGCCTTTAAAAAAATGAAGATCTCATAAACCAAACAGGACAAAAGACAAAAAGTAAAGCTACAATCAGGTAAGGACCTTTGAATGAGGAAATGATTTTCCTTAATTTCAAATAATTTCAAAAATTGTGTTACAGCAAATTTTAATAACCGAGGTATTGTCTATACTTGGCTGGTTTCCCCCTCGAACTTATAGACTAATCGACCAAGTGGTAGTAATAACATTATCGGTACCAACTTACTGCACCAGATGCGCATTTCGACAATACATGTTTTTTCAGTGATGATATTTCAAAATCCAAATCTTATTATATAAAACAAAAATAAGCCTTTTGCGATAATGTCGTATTTGAGGAAAAGAGGGCGGGATTGTAGTTACATCAATTGGAATATACCCGTCGTCATTTGTGACACAGATATTTGATAACGGTCAACCAACGCGTGATGATGTCCGTAATATTTTTCGAAGGGATAACTTCAACTTCATCACTTAGAACCCTTTGTTTAATAGCTTCCTTGTAAGCAAGGAAATCATGATAGGAAATTCAAGCTGTGGGATATCGTATCGACTTGGAGATAGATATATACTCCATATATGCAAGCGCTGCTGGAATGTTGTTACATAGAATTGGAAAGTTCACAATTGGGAACCTGAAATCATCTTTTTGTCGTAAAAATTTGTTCTCAATCGACCCTCATTGTCAATTTCTAAATGGAAGTGCATATATGAAGAAGACTTAGCTGATTAAGAGGGGCTGAAGATATCGAAGGGATATAAAAACGACCAAAAAGACATGCAAGTCTACAAAACACAAAATAGAAAATTACAAACTGAGCAACACGAACCTATCAATCACTGGGGTGAGCTCAGGTGCACCGGAAGAGTAAGCAGATCCTACTCCACATGTGGCACCCTTCGCTTTGCTCATGTAAGGTAAAACCCAGTAATATGTCTTATTAGGTAGGTAACATTCGAGAATAAAATGCTCCGCAGGGCGCAGCTTGATACGACCGCAGAGGTCGAACCCTGAACAGTTGGGGCAAGTATGGACACAACATTCAAGCTTGATACAGCTCTGAATTTGGATTGTGATTAAATATTTGACACAGCATAGGTTTCTGACACAGAATGAATGTGGTCTAAGAACTTAAAAATTTTAAATTGGACATTCACCTATTATGGTCCAATATCCAAAATCTAAATACATGGTTAGATTCAGCATATCAAAGAACCCCAAGAATTCAATTTTTGATGAAATCAAACAAAGTTTAATTTTGGACCCTTTTGACCTCAATGTGGACAAAGTTGATAACGGGGCCCAAAAATCAAAAATCTAAATACATGGTCAGATTCAGCATATCAAAGAACCCCATATAATCAATTTTTGTTGAAATCAAACAAAGTTTAATTTTGGACCCCGATTTGGAACAACTTGAAAACTGGGCCCATAATCAAAAATCTAAATACATGTTTAGATTCAGCATATCAAAGAACCCTGAAAATTCAATTTTTGTTAAAATCAAACTAAGTTTAATTTTGGACCCTTTGGACCTTAATGTAGACCAATTTGAAAATGGAACAAAAAATAAAGAATCTAAATACACGGTTAGATTCGGCATATCAAAGAACCCCAATAATTCAATTTTTGATGAAATCAAACAAAGTTAAATTTTGGACCCTTTGGACCTCAATGTGGACCAATTTAAAAACGGGGCCCAAAATCCAAAAACTTAGATTCAGCATATTAAAGAACCCCAAGAATTCAAGAATAAAACCCCATTGAAATTGATCAAGAAATAAGCAATTTATACGAAGTATCTTCTTTTGCACAATACTGTGCAATTGAATATTTCTTGCTATTGCGCAATACTGTACAATTGACAATTTCTTGCTATTGTGCAATATTGTGCTATTGGATATTTCTTGCTATTGCGCAATACTGTGCAAATGAGGATTTCTTGCTGTTGCGCAATACTGTGCAATTGAAGATTTCTTGCTATTGTGCAATACTGTGCAATTGAAAATTTCTTGCTATTGCACAATACTTATTATATAATACTTTACACATCCTGTTTGGTGTGTATCTCCTACCATATCATTATTATTTGCTTTTAAATATAAATCAGAAATAACCAACTTAAAATGGAAAAATTTAAAAGAAAAAAAAAAGGAAAAAAAGAAAAAAAAAAGAAACCCCCCCCCCCCAAATTTTTTGAACCCCCTTATGATTCATCACCCCCAAACTCAATCCCAGCCTTCCCTTTGTGGTATGGTACCTTGCAGTACAATTTCAGAGAGATCCATACACTTGAACACAAGTTATTGTCTGGAAACTAGAAAAATGCTTATTTTTGGCCCCTTTTTGGCCCCCAATTCCTAAACGTTTCGGGCAATTACCCCCAAACTCAATTCCAGCTTTCCCTTTGTGGTATGGAACCTTGTAGTACAATTTCAGAAATATCCAAACACTTGCACACAAGTTATTGTCATGAAACTAGAAAAATGCTTGTTTTTGCCCCTTTCTGGCCCCCAATTCCTAAAATTTTGAGGCAATTACCCCCAAAATCAATTACAGCCTTCCCTTTGTGATATGGAACCTTGTGGTACAATGTCAGAGAGATCAATACACTTACACACAAGTTATTGTCTGGAAGTTACAAAAATGATTATTTTTGGCCCCTAATTCCTTAACTGTTGGTACCATAACCCCCAAAATCAATCCCAACCTTCCTTTCGTGGTATTGAACCTTATGGTAAAATTTCATGGAGACGACGCCAACTTCATACTAATATACGACCAAAATTTTTTTAATTTTTGCGGTCGTATAAAAAGAGGACAGAATTGTGATTACGACAATTGGAACATATTCGTCGTCAACTGTGAAACAAATATTCCATAACGGTCAACCAACTCATGATGACGTACGTAAATTTTTTGAAGGGATGACTTTAACTACACCACTTTGAACTCTTAATTGGATTAATAGCTTCCTTGTAAGTAGCTAACCTCTATCAAAGAAAACATGATCGGAAATTCAAGCCCTTGAATATCGTATCAACTGGGAGATATATACTCCATATGCAGGCGCTGCATAAAATGTTGCTACATAGAAATGGAAAATTCACAATCGGGAGTTTTGTTTTCGACCGACCCTTGTTGTCAATATCTAGATGTAGAAGAGAGGCAAAATATACCAAAGGAATATTCATACTCATAAGTCAAAAATAAACTGACAACGCCATGGCAAAAAAAAAACACGGGAAAAGACCAAAAGACAAACAACAGTAAACAAAACACAAGAAGTGTAAGTCAATATATAAGGCAGACTTTACTGTATCTGCTGTATTCAAGTTCGATGGGATAAATGCGTTCAACATCGTCTCCAAACTTTGAATTATTTAGCGAGAGGACATCATCTGTATCGCGAAATGTGAAGTTAAGGATGATGCTTGTTTATTATAATTCTTCCTAAGAAGCTTCTGTATGAAGCCAGCTTCAAATAAATATAAACCTAGACGGTAGAAGTAGGGAACAATAGAATCCTAAGAATTCTCAAATCCAGAAGTATTCCTTTTGTTTACGGAGTTGGTAGTTGTAGTCATCTTATAGAAAGTTTTACGAACGCAATCACGAGTTTGTTGACCGTAATGGAATATATGATTATGTACTAATTGTCAAATTACAATAATTCCGCCCTCTCTTCCTCGATTGTGACATAAACGAATGAGGTTTGTCGCCGAAATTTGTGATTGGAGTGTTTCGTGTGGTGAATGAACTGCATGCTCAACCTTCCGGTTTTGACTGTTTGAGTGGGGTTATGTTGCTCAATGTTTTTTTTATATGTGGTCTTTTATGGATTTATTTTCGACGTTTTTCGTTTATTGTCATGGCCTTGTCAGTATTTTTTCTTCCGACTTATTATGAGTTTTGAATGTCGTCTTGATATCTTTCGCCTTTTTTTTTTATCCACACAGATAGTTAAAGATACACATTTGTTTTGGAAATAAAAAGTATGCTATATACTACTGGTATCTCAGTACCAAAATCAATGACAAAGGAGACGACTTCAATTTTGAAATTATAAATTTTCCTCGCCTTAATTAACAGCAATCTACCAACTTCACCCGTGTATGGAGTATACATTGCTCAACTCGTACGATATTCACCAAAGAGCTTACAGCTGCTTCTTAAGACTTTGTAAAACTTCATTAGTGTCTGATCAAAGATTGATGAGCCAGGGTTTTGTCAAAGACTGTCTCATCATCTTTCTTAAAAAGTTCATCGGAAAGCACCAAGACCTAAGAGATAAATACCCAGTGTCAACTTCACAAATAATACAATGTTTTGTTTCTAGGTGCTGAAGTTGTGCATCTTTATATTTACTTTACAGTTTTCCCTGTATTTGTCTTTTGTACTAGGGGCCTCGGTGGCCGAGTGGTCTAAGTAGTTACTACTGTAATCACTAGCCAGTCAACACTGAGGTTGTGAGTTCGAACCCCGCTCGTGCGGGTGCACTTGACTCCAATCTTAATTGACTAGGATTGTCAGTTTTCCTATCGAAGGTCGGTGGTTTTCTCTGGGCACTGCGGCTTCCTCCACCAATAAAAACTGGCCGCCACGAAATAGCCCAAAAGCGGTGCTTAAAAGTGGCGTTAAAACACCAAAAATCAAAAATCTTTTGTACTAT